ACGGGAAGAAACGACCAAAAGGAACGGCGGGAGGGCGGGGCCGACAGCGGCGATTGGGCGACCGGAGGCGCAGCGGAGGGCGGGCGGGCTTCCGGGCTGCCAGTCAAGTCTTGGAAAACAGCGGGCTCGGCAATAGGAAGCCAATCGTCATAAATTGCTGTAATAACGAAGGTAGCAAGTGTAGAAGGGTGCACGTACGAATCCATCCAGTTGGAGCACTCCAGCCCTGGGATTGCAGAAAATGAAAGCAGAACAATAAAGTGGGGCAGACGGGAGTCAAAAAAACCCTTGCAAATGCAGATGTGTTTAATAGTGCATTAAAGTAGCAAGCCGGGACAAGTCGAAGATTCCCACCTTAATTATTCAGGACACCCTGCATGCATTCACACACCACAAGCCACGTTAGCCTGCGTGTGGTGTGAACCTGGAAAATGTGGTTCAAGGAATAACATAACCAAGCAAGCTGCCCCCAAGGGTACCCAGTGCCTTTTAAATCCCTAATTATTGTCACTAATTAAAATCTCAGTGGAGCTAAGACAAGAGCATTCAAACGGCAGAATAAAATAGAAAAAAATATATATTAAACATCAGCCGCACCTTAAAGACTGCATTCTCACAACACCCCATTAGCTAATTTCTGGGTTTGCATAATAAATTGAATCATAAGCTAACACAATGGGCGGGGGCCAGGAGCCTTTTGAGCCACCCCAAAAATGAAACTAAGTTAAATGTAGCCAGCTTTAACAAGTTGTGCAAATGCAAGATTTAACTAACATGGCTAGGTACTGGCTATTGACTAACATGAGACTGTTTTGGGCTAAGCCAGGATTATCAGTAGTAGTTGGGTTGGAGGTCCTTTCTTGTGTAAATTACGTTAAACCTATTTGAGGAGTGATTCCCAGCTCCAAACACCAGCAAACCATTCATTCTTTCATGCTAATGAATTTGTCAATTGACCATCTCAAAATGCAAGACCAGACCAACATATAAAATCAATGAAAATATACAAAGAAATAACAGGAAGTACATTCAGATAAATCCATCAACTCCGCATATTTTCCCAAGCAGATCAGGAAACCATGAACATCAGCCTGGGCTCAGAGGTGGCTCCAGGGATCTGAATGTCTTGGCTCAACCCACCGCCACCTTTTGTTATCCCCCAAATATGAAGTGCAGCCTGGACACTGAAAGTTTGCCCACCACCAGCTTGGAAGAGCCATGTTGCCAACCCTGAATTTGTCCTCTGGAAAGACAGAATCAATAGGCTATCAGTGGACTGAATGACATGCCAACCTCCATGTTCTTTTTCACCAGGAAGCCCTAAACCTAGAGTGACACCCAATTACCTCTCCTTCAGTCCCATCCAGTGGTTTCCTTTGCTTTTTGTTGCAAAAGTCTCTAAACCAACTCCAGTTTTTGCTTCAGAATAAGGCTGTCTTCTCTCCCCATCATTGCTGACAACTTGCCTTTTCTCTTTGGATGTCAACCTAAAAAGGCTGCGTTAGAAAACTTCCCTGGTTTTTGGAGGCAACAGTGAACACCAAGGAATGTGAGTGAAAGTATCCCAAGGATGCTGGTGGGCTTGGAAAGCCAAGCTGGTTAACTGCAATGAAAGGTTAGCTCAACGATCTTGCAATGCTTCCCTGGGACTTTCTTTCCTTTGGTGGAATCTCCCACCAAATCCCATTTCCAGCAAAAAGGGATGGAGAACTTTCCACTGGTTGGTTGGAGGGAGCAGAGACAGCACAAGGAGAAGCAGCTGGGGTTGACCACTGGCACAGAGCAATATGAGGAGGTTTATGTGACCATGGCTAGGAACCAATAGTAGGAAGATGGGCGAGGCCAACAGCTGTATGGATGGAAAGTTATTTATCAGAACCTGGCTAGAGACAAATAAAAATCCCAAATAAGAGAGCAATTTGGTTGCTTCCCGAGTTTTCAAGTGATTTCTAGCTCAATGTCATGTGCTCCTCTCAAGACGTTTGTCATCTCCACCAGGCCCAGAATGCAGGAGAAATGTTTATTAAAAACATTTTACTCCATCCTTCAGTAATCAGTCTCTGGTGAACAAGACAGTAGCTGTCCACCAGCTTATAAAGAGCAGGCTACAAAAAGAAAAATGAAAGATGAAACCAGATACATCTGGGCAGGCCCAGGTTCTTAAAGCTACCAAGTTCTAGAAACCACTGGAATGGAAATCTTTTTAGGATAGGAAGAACCCAAAGTCCTGATCTCGTAGCACGCTTGATCATCCTTGTTTCTTGGAAGACCACTGAAGGAGGAAGAAATTCGTTATGGCAAGAAAATACCCAGGAAAAAGAAGCAAAGCAACGGGTCCAGAGGTATCTTCTAATACACTAGAACCAAAATAAGAGGTGATGGATGAGAAAGCCGAGAGTCGCTTTGTGTGAGATGGGCGGCTATGCAAATAAATATAAATACCTAATCAGTTTGATTTTGACAAGGAGCCCATTTCCTCCCCAGGTAGGACCTATTTTTTGTTCTTATTTTCAAAGGCTGTGCCTCCTCAGTAGATTAATGATGGTGTCTAACAGTCTCCACCACTGGATATGAAGGAAGCTGTATCCATCATGGCCCAGGGACCAGCTGCATGCTGAACAGCAATAACCAAGCATGCATTTACAAGAGTGATCTGGCTTCTTAACCGCATTATAAGGCGAGGGAACAGCTTGTTTATTTTGCTTTATTAAAAATAGCTTCGCTCCTGGAGGAACGGGCATCGATATTTTTCTGCAGCGGTCTCTCCAGCAGCCCTTTAAACACAGAGGCATTGTGCTCATTTTGGTTTATAAATGGTTTTAATGTTACCTTGGGGGGGCATATGCCTATAACATACAAGTGGCTTGCAACAGAATGCCATAAATAAGTAAATAAATAATTGCGATTTAAACCCCCTTCCCGCCCCCAAATCTTAAATCTTGGTAACGAAAAGACAGCATTATGTTGTTGATGCAAGTCGAGATTAAATGTAGTTTAAGTAAAACCTAGAGGCACGGTCTGCATTCCAATGAACCAAGCACCACATTACACCACCGTTTAAGACACAGCAAAATAGTTCGTAGCTGTTCATGGACCGGACAGTCTTTTTTTGCTACAGTGGGCCGGTTTGAAAGACGGCTAACAGATTCCATGCTGATGTATAGCTTCATGTCAACTGAAGGATGGGTGGCAAACGGGCTTCATTCGATGGTGGGGAAAGTTCAGATCTATCAAATAGCCTTTCAGACAAATTACTGCATCAGCAGAAAGTATCAATTAGTTTATTTATCGATCGCGTTTGCACACAGGTGTACGTGACGATATAAAACAAGCTTTAAAAGAGAATGGAATTTTTTTAAAAAAGTCATATTTCAGTGACCCAAAGCAACTCCTTAATTTCAGTGTACAAGGGCCAAACTATCCTTTTAGCAAGTTCCCCAAAAGCCACGCTAACGGGCACCCCGAAGTCTGCTTCAGTTTTTAAATACAGTACAAAAATAATTGCAAACATTTTTCCCTGCTACAATTTCCGGGCGTGCCATTTTCAATGCCCCTAAACAAATTGCAATTGGCACTGAAGACCCATCAGATTACATCACGCAACGCAACTCCGACCTGTGGTTTGTGCTTGAGTGAACCATATCAGATGGCGGGTTTTGGTGGTGTCCCCTAAAACATCTGAATTGTCCCTCATGTAAAAACCCTCTGTTGCCTTCAAGAACTAGTTCTCGTGAAGGCTGGCTTAGAATTGAAGCATTTGAACATAAAGCACAGATTTTATTTGGCTGGGTTTCTGAATGTGAGGTAGCATCGAGACTTTTATTTACAACCCATGCTTTGGAATGGTATACAGTTACATCCTTTTGGGTCAAGCCATGGTTTGGGTCTCAACAGCTTCCCACTTACCGTTAATGCTAGGTTAGATGGCAGATCAGATTCACCCATCACACTAATCATTGTCTGGTTTTACTTAGCACATTGGGTGCACTCAGCCATTCTGGCTTGTAAACCAGAGTTTATGGCTTAGAAAAGCATGTGATTCCCTCTATGGTTTATTCAACAAATCATGCTTACACAAACTATGACTTAGCTGATGTAAGAACCCAGCCATTTTCCCACTAGTTCTTAAATAATATACATGGAAGTGGCCAGCAAATGTTGAAAGATGGCTTGTTTTTCAAAAACCATCAACTGAAAGCCAGCCTTAGATTTAGGCAAAGAGCTTTACTATCATGTGTGTGCTCAACTGCAAGTATCTAATAAATCAGACGAGTTGTGCTTGTATTTGGCTTCTCACTGCTTCCTTACCTATATGTTCAGAATCAAAAAGAGAATATCTGGAACATTCCTTAGTAATAGCAGCAAAAATATTTTGATGGAGAGGGGGGCAAGAAAGAATTAATTAAGCAACCCATTCAATCAGTGATTTCTCCTCCTCAGTTATGGAAGGCAGATATTTAGAACTTCAGTGTGATTTTAATTTAAGGCATGATTTAAGTGTCTCTAATTTCCCAGTTCAAGTGGGCCAGTGAAGTTTATCATCATTCCAAAACATCTGAACAGTATCCAGCTGGGAAAGGGTGTGTTGGCTATCGTGGCTCGTTGGCTCTCTGCTTTTCAAGAATTTAAAGCAGGGTGAGTCAAAGACATGTTAACACTGAAGACTTAGAGACGATGATGGTTGTATGTTATATTCAGACCTGTGTGTTTTTTGTAAGACATGTTTGTCTCAAGAGATAATAATTTACAGTATCAAAGTTGTTTTAAAGGCTTACAAGGAAAGGAGGATCAAATCTCAACCATGCATGATTGTATATGCTTTTTTCATTTTTCCAGTTTCAGTTTTGCTCTTTCACCTGTCCTCACTACACTAAAAAAAAGAGAGAGAGACCCCCCTCCCCGATGATATTGCTTTTCCCTTGCCTGTATCTGTGATGCTATTACGACCTCTTTCGTTTTCATCTGGAGTGTGTGCCTGAGGCTCAATTCTTTAATAATTTAAAAGGAACATCACATCTGAGCTGCATGAAGAATTCTTTGGCAGTATTTTAGATATATAAATTATACATTTTAAAACAATTGATCAAACAAGCTCATGTTGTACCAACATACAAGTTGTCACTTAAAGCTAAACGTGGGAAGCACGAAAAAGGTAATGACATCAGGTTACTAAAAGCCAACTGCAATGCTTTTATCCCATGCTGGCAAGGGCATACGGCATTCCAAACAATTAAAAATATTCAGAAAGACCACCGGTAATTCATTACATGGGACATTCCTTTTATATATAGAGAGAGGGAAATACCCTAACAGGAAAACGATGACTTGATCAGGTAGAACGGCTAATTTTCTACAACTTCACGGGTTGCCAAGATGAAAATCTTCACATCTGCCCTTCTTCTCGTGAAGGGCAATGTGGGGAACCAAACAGCCCAACGATTCAAATCCAGTCTCAAGTGATGCTTATTTTCTTGAGAGTCCATCCTCAATCAATCATTTCCTAGCTGGGGATTCTACTGATAAGAACCGAGAATGGATGAACTTCTCAAAGTAAGCCTGCGATGTGGAGCCCATCACTGAAAAATGGAGGGCTCTTTTAAGTGACACCTATACAACTCTAAGAGGGGACAGTCTCATATTAAAGGATGTACACTTGGGGGAGGTTAAGGACATTCACATCTGTATCCAAGGCTCCTGCTCGATGTGGCTATTACAGCAAGCACTGGTACATCACCAAAACTTTCTGTGGCAAATCTAATATGGGGGCCTACCTCACAATTACCATTTTTCTTGAACTCACGGCCATCCTTTCGATTTACAGCCATTTTCTACACAGTCGTAAAACAGAATTTGGCCCCTGAATATTCTAATGTGCTTTGAAATTGGAGGGCTGCCATGCCTGGTAGGCTGCCACCTTAATCCTAATTTCCCATCATATTATACTATGAGAACCCTTTTCCCCGGGTGCTACCAGAGCCCCGAAGACAGAAGCTAAGCCCCTGATTAAATCTTCAAGAACCGTAAAGGAAGGCAAAAACCTCGGTGGTTTCAGCAATTTGTGGAATGCTAACGTGGAAAGAATATACTGCGTGAGAGAGAGCAGAGCAGACAGGGGAATAAAGCTCTGGCAATCCATTTTTAAGTAACCTGCCTCACCCATGGGGCTTAACTGGAGAAAAATTGGCTTGGATTTTAATGTTTCTTGACTCAAGCGCCTCCTCCAGGCTGCGGGCTGACAACTGGGAAGCAATCTAACATTCAAGGAATTACTTTAAGCTCTCCACAGCTGCAAGGGAGCATATTAAACCACAGGCAGTACATTCTCAAGTTAAATTGGCAATGCTGCTGCATAATCTCACCATGGTGTGTTCATTTTCCGCACGAGCCGCCTCGCTCGCCAGCTTTTCGGGCACTCTTGCTGCACGGCTGGGTACAGCCTCATTCGAGATGCAAAACTAACGGTGTAACCTTGAACGTATTGGTTCAGAAGTCCTCCTGAGATCAACAAGACTGACTTCAGAGAAAACGGGCCCTGGGTCTGCAGCCTAAAATGTGTGCAATTAAAGCGACTGAGCCGTGCTTGATTCTCTAGTTGTCTAGAGGACAAAGTGGCTTCTGGTGGGTACAATTATGAATTGTGACCCTTGCGTTGAAGAAAAGAACAATGCAATCATGTACATAGCTACTTGGAAGGAAGCCTGATTGACTTCAACAAGATTTATTCCCAGGTAGGTGGACATAAAACCAGAACCTAAAGTTCCTTTTGGGGCATCATATCACTCAAGCGAGAATTTAGTCTGAAAAAGAGACAAGCGTTACCATCAGCCTCCCAAAGGGCACAAGAATGACACGGCTGCAGTTTCCATAGCTAAGTGCCCAGGTTGCCACACCAAAATCTACACATATTCACACCCCCAAAACAGCAAAGTTTTGTTTCACTAAAATGGGAATCAGAGATTTCCAGCCATACCCCTTTACATGTTTCCCCCCCTTTTCCTGCCTTAGAATCCAGAAAGGACACTGCTTGATCTCTAAAGGAAGTCTTAAAAGAAACCCCAAGGAATTCTGAGCAAACAAGATTCTTGACCAACGAGTTGAGATCAAGATGGATCGTTGATCAATTCTTTTCAGCAGTTTTAAAGAGGCAGTACTAATTAAAAGACAGTCGTGCTTCACACCAGGTTTTGTTATGTTGCCATCAAAGGAAGGCAGAAATAATCCTCTGATTTTAAGGATTCTCCATAGGCCCAATAACTGGGAGCCCACAGAATTCTTCCTATTCTTACAGGCCCTTCTGCAAAAAAAAACACCCCACAAATTCGATACAATCACAAAAGCTTACAAGCAGCTAATGCTGCTCTATTAAAAGGTAGCACAGCATCACCAATACTGAATTATGACTTCTTTTTTTTTTTTAAAGATTTGCCCTATGATTTCATCATTTTGCTTTCCTCGGTCAAAGGAAGGTCGGAAAAACAGAAGTGTACCATACATGATTAACCAAAGCTCTCTGCATTTCTCATTAACAAGTTAAATCATTGGAGATTTTTGCTTAAGCAGGTATGCAATTTCCCCCCCCCCACCCCCCAAGATCAACAACAGATCCCTTTGTGCAAAAGAGAGCCTGTTTTTTAGATAGGGCTTGCTTTCCTATTCAAATTGCTCTGTTCTGGGTTTTCTGCCAAAAAAAAAAAAAGTTTTGTTTGGGGTTTCCCCCCACAAATGCTACAGTGTTCTAGGCAATGTTAAAAAGTATCTGCTCTGTTTAGATGCTTACTGGATTCTTCCCCCAGCCCTGACAGTTCAGCAGTTCATTTTCTTCCCTTTACTTTATCTTTCCAATTCGTTCGGAAGGAAAACAGTTATATCTGCAGCTTAAATTGGTAAGTGCTGGTCTTCCACTGGTCAATATCAGCATTCAGCATGGTGCGTTCGGTGAACGTGACGTGTCCTTCCCCATCGATGAGAATGACTGTGTTCGCTCTGAAAAGGGGGGAGATTTATTTATCGGCATAGGTATTGTGCTCTGCTCTTAGGACTCAAAGCAGTCAACAGCAAGAGATAAAAACATACACATAACAATAATGCAACAATAGCAATCACATTATAAAAGCTAAAAGAATATAAATCATGCATTTGGGTTCAAAACCACCCTGAGCATTATTAATAATTTCGAGATGCTCTCCTAAACAGTCAGCGTTTGCTCTATGGAAAGCCAGAGGGAGATGATTTATTTCAAGGAAGATTAATGTAGTTCTCATGTAATCGTCGCCAGGGTTCCTAATTCTTCATTCATCTGTCTACTCCCTCCATCACGTAGCAAAAAAAGAAAGAAATTAGAGGAAGGGAAAATTGAATATGGGATTGAAAAAAATGGGCAACTTGGATTCTGTCTCTTTGTTTTACACAGTAGAATTCAAGACCTTTGGCAAGACTTCACTGCGGATTATTTGGGTGCAAAGTGCTAATTTTTAATACAGAAACAGACTATACCACCACTGCTGCCACAATCAACCACTTCCACAAAGAGGAAAGATTAAAGTCAAGGGGAAAATTCTCCTGTTCTAGCCATCTTAGCAATAAATTCTACCTGGCAGCAGTTGAGTTAACACAAGGGATATCCCCTACTGCTTTATATTAACTCAGCTTTACAATCTCCGCTTTCCTTCAGAACTGGTGCCAGTTCCATCATCAGAAAACTGCTGTGCGCTAAAGATTGCTATTCTCTACCTAAAAAGATGGGTGCAAAATTCCCTGCAGGGGTGGCTGCCCAATCACTTTTTCACTGGCACCTCCATCCGCCCCCAAAATCAATTTCCAGCTCAACTTTGTCCTTGTTCGTGTCTTTATATCAGGCCGTATCCAAGATTAATGACGCCCTCCTGGAACAGAAGGCAGATAAGCCAAAGCAACAGTTTGTCTCTTTGCTTCTAAATAATACTGTGTTTTGATTTACAATGACTTATCTTGCTTGTAAGCTGCTTGGGAGAATATTTACCCTAAAAGGCAGAATATAAATAACTGTAATCAATAAATTATAACAGTGATCAATAGAAATCACCATGTTTTCTGGGTGCGTCTGCAGCAGAATTAAAAGCGCCTTTCCCAAACTTGGAAATTCGCTTTGTTGTGGGAGGCCTCAGTGCAACAAATCTGACTCTTGTCAGGTGTCACCAAACTCTTCTTCGTGCTCTGATGTAGTGCAGCAACTGCCTATCCGTATCGCAAAATCTGAGGCTGAAAATACGTTTATTGAAGTGTCAGCGTCATCAATCCCTTTGCAGAGATCCCAATAAATCTGGAGCAAGCAATGCTTTTCTGTCTGGGAGCAGCAATTTAATTAGGGGGGGTGGCTGTTTCTTCCTGTGTTGGGGGCCTTGATGGTGTTTCTTCCTTTTTAAAGGAGAGTAGCTATGTACTGATACATGAGGATTATGCATATTCACTGATTTGCTGTTAAAAAAAAAAAAAAAAGAAATGGCAGAAAAGTGTACCATCCTTATCTGGAGTCTGCCACAGAGTTTCAGCAGCAGAATCTTGGGGGACCTCCCCTTAGCACAAAGTAGTAGTTTGGAAGGGCTGCATTCAGTCACAGCTTCTCCGCCTCCACACCAAATAATCCAAACCACCAGGTCTTTCTCTTACCTGGTTCCGTAATCTGGGCAACGAACGCAGAGAGCTGCGTACTTGTTTAGGAATGGGAGGACGTAATCCTTTCCCTGATCCTCCATTGCAGGGTCTGGCAGCTGACTGGACAGAAAGAAGCTAAATCAGAGATCATATAACTGAAATTCCCCACTTTCTGTGCTTAGATGGGTATTTGCGGGTGGTTTAGTAGTATTCCTGAAGTGAAGTTGTTCACTGGAGACCCCAGTACATTGCTCTCAAAGGAAGAGTCCAAAACGCAAGCAGGTCTATGGACGGGTGCTCATGCAGAGGGGCAGGAAGCTCCTATCCACACTGATGATCACAAACCATTCCAGTCTCCCTATTTAAATGGTGTGCCATGGACCAGGCCAGTTCTCTAAGCTCCTTGAGCTCATAATAGTAGTAAATACCACTTTGATGGATGACACGGAACCTTCTTATGTGAACCTGGCCAAGATAAGATGGCTCAGTCTGTAGCAAATACATACATTGGGTGCTAAATGTCCTGGATTCTTGATGGGAACAATGCCACCAGCAACCCTAGACTAAGTTTGTCAGTCAAGGCAGGGGAAGTTATGACTCTCCAGATGTTGATGGTCTACAACTCCCAATATCCCTGATTGTTGGACATCTGCAGTCACCCAGATAATGGTTTTAAGCAAAGCAAGAGAAGACATGGAGCCTTACGGGTCCTGGTTATTCATCATTTTAATGAGCTCCTGCACCAGATCTTCCTTCTTGAGGTTCTGACTGTGCTTGATGACATCTGTAAAAAGCTGCTTTCCATACTGGAGCTTCTTCCATGGTGTATCCAACAAAGAATTGCTCAAGCCGTATACCCCTGTGTGGTGAGATGAAATCTACATTCAGGCATTTTCCAACAAAACAAGAACCTGCCCACAGCTGCTTCCCCTGGTGACAATTATAACATGCACAAAAAATGAGCTCCCTACATTTGTGTAGAAACACAGAAACTGGAAAAATTGTTTGTCTCAGCCCAACCCTCTGTGCGCATTACCACTGCCATTTTACATAATGCATGCATGATGGCTACACCTGGATTCAACCTTAAAGCCAGAGTTGGCCGTAGAATGAAGATCAAAGCCAGGTTAATCTCACCCCAAACTGTGATGACTGAACTATTTTCTTCATTTGAAACTACATGAATCTGCATTAATTGGGGCAAATCTTACAGGTACATTATACATACAATTCTATGGTTTAAGCAGATCACTTCAGAATAATTTCTGTCTTACAGGGATTCCTTCCACCACCGTTCAATTACTTGCAGTGGCAGTCATGTTACTGAGAGGTCCCACTGAGTTTAGTTTCAGGCAGACAGGGCATTTGCACAATTATGTCTAGTGCTCCAGCAGTGATCTTTTGTAAGCTAGTCAGGTCTGGTTACAACTGCCTGTACTTTGGTAACATCCTGGTTTGACTATTATGTAGGGTTCCCCGAAGTTTCTCTTGGACCAAAACAGTGCTGACTCCTAATTCAGAGAGTACAGTACACTTGTCTGACAAGATCTGCAGTGGTCACCAATGTGTTTTTAGGCACAATTTAAGATGTGGGATGTGGTCTTTAAAACTCTGTGCAGCTTAGGGCCTGGTTATCTGTGGGACTGGTTCTTAGGGCTGTGCAAATTGATCTGATTCCTCAAATACAGTCAAATGCATCCAAACTGATTGGTACCAAGGTGTTTTAAGAACCCAAACTGGACTGAACAAAATCAGGTCTGATTTGATGATTAGGTCCAATTCAATTTACACCTGGCCGTCCACTTTCTCTGCTTAAAACCTACCTCTTTAGCTAGTCTGTTCCAGTTTGAATGGCATTGTTTTAGCAGATTTTAACATTTTTTTAAAATTTATTTTTAGCGGTCAGCTCTGAGCTGAGAGGTGCAAATCAAACCAAACAAATCAAGAAATAAGTTGCCCAAATCCCAAGATAAGCTTGCAGGGATGGGGAACCTACTGATCTCCAGATGTTGCTGAATTTAAATCCTCTGCCAACGTGGCGAATAGTGAGGGGGTGGTGGTGGTCTGGTTCAGCAATGCATGAAGGTCTGTATGTCTTCCACTCATGAAAAATACAGGAAACTCAATTACAGCTTTTGCCACAGATAAGCTGTGAAATAAAAGCTGTGACGACAAGTCAAAGTGCCACAGTATTGTAAGAGTCAGTTTGCTAGGAGAAAAATAATGTAAATGGAAAATGCTAATAGTGCATTCGTAGCCATTTTACCCAGCAAGGGATTTATCACTGCTTTATCAAAGAATTCCCTGGTTTGTTTCATTAGTTGTTTTCACGGAGGCCCCAAATATATACAGTGGGAGAAGCCGTGTTGCCGAAAGACAATAGCATTCCTCACAATGCAAGCTCTCCCCTTTTGAGTTGTGTGTGCAATACTGTGGTTTGTGTTACAATGCCATCATGCTTAGGTCACTTGCTCTCCCCCACCCATGAACGCCTGAATATGCCACTGGGTCCTCATGTGTGTCAACCCTTCAGGGTAGGCCAGACCAAGAAGCAGACTACACGTAGGTCTAAAACTACTTTTATTAAGGTTGGCTATAGTAACAGAATCTTGCAAGGTTGAATGTGCTTCCCCTCCTCCCTCTTTTACGTTCATGTGAATTGGAGGGGGTGACTGTCTGAGATGTCTTTGTAACCCTCCCTCCCTCCTCATCAGGGCTTAAACCAGGTTTATCTACTTGCCTTGTTCATGGATCTTCCCTCTCTCCATCAAGATCTTCCTCTTTACTCTCTACAATGTGTCACTGGACTACAGAACAACGTCCATCAACCAGAGCAAAGATATGCAGGCAGAAAGGGCTCGAACTCAGGACTGTCCATTTAATCTCCTTCTTTGCATCCGGTGGGCATTCAGTTCTGCCAGCACCCAGCACTCGCCCGTAGTGCACAAAGTCCTGAGTTTTTCATCCCACTGGTACCATTGTTCCTATGTATCTCCTTAATGCAACAGGTAAGATAAACCCATGGTTGAATAGGCACTGGAAGCTTTAACCCAAGACCAGGGCAGGTAGGAGCATACACTGCTAGAAAGCTTAATTATAAAAGGCTAATTCTAAATTGTAATTTAATTATTAAGATATTGCCATTTTAGATAATCTGACCCGAGAAATTTATTTCCAAGGCCAAAATTTCAAGGGAAGTTGAGCAAGATTTCAGATTCTTGCCTGAAGTCTTGCACGTTCTTTGGAAAGGACCCCAAAATTTCACCTGATTTTGCAATCAGGTGAGGTTTGGGCTTATTATTAAAATAAATAAATCCATTTAATTTTGGAGTTTCACAGATGCCATCAAGAGGTAGTGTATGTGCTACATTGCTAACTGCCACTCTATAGCTTAGTGGACAGTCTTGGTGAATGAGACTAAATTTCTTCTGTGTTTTAGAGAATAGACTACAACACTGTTTATCAATTGCTCTTTATCTTTTCCAACTGCAAAGAGGTTCCTTGACAGTTACCAGCATCCAGGGGTCTGACAGCCAATTTCTCTTTTGTATTTCTCTTTTTCTCTAGTATCCCCCTGGATTTCTGGACCATAGTCCAAAATAAATAAATAAATAAGCATGAGCTGTGCAAATAATGTCAACTGTTCAGCATCAGCTCTTCTCCCAGTCAAGACCTCACTTCACAGAGAATGTGAAGTGGAAAGCCCAAGGTCAGCACTGCTAGATCCTTTGGATTCCCCATTTTTGCACTACTGTGGTGTGCTGGGGGTGTGCATAATTGACCACTCTTCTTTTAATGTCCCTGTAAAGCACAGGACGTCACAAGCGAGAACACTCAGCTTCTCTTGAAAAGATAGCATCACCTCGTCCGGAATTGTAGAAGGTAGCTCTCAATTAATCCTGAATTTATTGTTTTATGTTTTTTTTTTTAAATGTCGAAAATATAAAACAAATTTATACCAAAGGAGGACCCACTGGAGCCATTTACCCCAATAGTGGCTAATATGCTTTCCCCAACTGGTTGTTCTCCAGATGTGTTGAACCCACAACTCTCATAATTCGCATACAGAAAAGCCATCAACGACTATGCTAACGAGTCTCCCGACTTGCATGCCATATTGAAACTTAAGGACCGACGTTAACAAACTGAGCGTTAGAAATAGAAGTTTCCAGATTTTAGTCAAAAGTCTAGAAGTAGTAGCTGGTCCACCTCTGAATCTCTCAAGGCATAACATTCCCCTTCAAGCTTCAGCACCTTTGTCTTCATTTCTATTATCATGGCAAAACACACAAGCAGGTACGCAGCCAGATCACTGCTTTAAATAAATTAAGTACCCATTGTTTTCTGATATAACCCACCGGGATTTAGGAAGACAGGTTCTGGGTCTCCTTTGTTTCCGTAATAGTAAATTACATCTCCCTTAGTGGTGCTAAAAGATAAAAATAGAAAAAAAAAAGAGTTCTCCTTGCAAAACTCAACTCAAATCTTTGATTAAGCTCTATTTTGGTACAATCTGCAACCCAGCAAGACTTTCCCCCTCTGTTCAGAAATCAGCACACTGTTTTCTTTCATAAAATTAATCAAAGGAAATTTCTGCAATAGAGACACTCTTAAAAGGCTAGCTAACAGAAGGGAGGAGACAACCACAGCGCAGAAGAACATTTTTGTATGTTTACTCATACTAATCAGCTTTTAATTAATTAAAAAAAACATTTTTGAAATTAGCAACTAAGAGCAAGATCTGGTCAGGGAAGTCTTCTGCTGGAAGGCAGGGGGTAGACATGGAATTGCCCTATAGCAGCTCTACTGGTGTTCTTCTGCCTTCAAAGATTTTTTTTAAAAAAAGGAAATTCCATTTATCCAATAAGAATCTGATTATTCCCCTCCTGACACCTCAATCCGCAATCCAAGATGGGTCCCCCATACTGAAATTAGTACAGTTTCTTGCACCAACTACATCGATTGGTTATTAATCTTTTTGTATATATTCCACTGAACAATCCCATGGTATATTCCAATCACATCTCCTCATTGTAAAAGCTATGTCTGCTACTTTCAGCCTCCTGGGATAATCACCACCTGTATCCAAAAGCCAATTAGATTTAAAAAAAAGTTAAAATACCACAAATAGGAATCCATTCCAACATATACCTATAGAATTAAGGGGGGGGGGAGCCAAACCCACAAACCACCCAATTTTTACTGAAGGAAGAACATGCTGTAGGAAAAAAAATAAGTCCATCTACTGAATATAATTATCTGTATAGATGTGCATAATAACTTCTCAGCCCTGACCAAATGCAAAGTTAATTAGTGAAATATATGCAGTGATATGAACTAGACATCCATCTTTGGTGTCATAGAACCTGCACAGAAAAATTAACTAACTCCCCAATGTTTGTTGAGCTTAAATATTGTAAAGGCTCAACTTAAACGCTGATTGTTTTCAGTGGAACGGTAAGTCCAAATGCGCTTTCTCTTTTTCACCAACTGTCTTGGCCACTTTTGGACTGCAGATGGGGGCCGTGGTGGGGCAAGCAAGATTATAGCAAGAGGAAGCTATGCCAGCCCAAAGCAAAGAATTGGCTTTAATGGAAGAAAGAGCAAGTACAGTCTTGGCACATGCAGCATGGAAACTTGGAAAACAGGTTTTCCAAGCAAGCAAGCAGATGCGATTAGCCCATCACAAACTCAAGCAGAGGAAGAAGGAAGCAGGAGAGGACTTCTCCGAGCACCTCAAGCTTTCACGGACAATATTACAAAGCTGCCGATAGATGGCTCGCACTTATCAGCTTTCAGCCTTCCCGCATGGAAAGTCAATTCCTCAAACAAATCTTGGTTTATTGAGCTGGATCCCAGAATGAGAATGTATCATTTGCTCAGGAGATTCACTTATTATTTATGGCAGTAAACCATTTCGCCAGCCACCGATAAATTGAGCCAATCCCTAGTTGCAATTTTTATAATATGCAAGCTTTCCTCAACCCCCCTCTCTGTGCTGGGTAGAAAAATAACCTGCTGCAGAACAATTTTTTTTAAGTGATCATGGGATGTTTTTACACACAGCAGAACAAGAATTTTCCAGCGTTTTGTTCTGTTAGCGAATGGAGAATATACACCAAAAGGCTCATGAGAGCAATGGTCGGCTTAGTAAAAAAAAAACAAAAAAAAAGTTTTTTTTTAAACCAAGCCTGAGTTAACACATTGGGGGCTCAAGATATCAGCTCACACCTGAAACCTAACAAGCAAAAGTACAGTTTATTCAGCTATTTATAAGCTAGTGTCGGTAACTCAAACCCTTCTGCATTTTTCCTGGCTAAAATGGAACTAATAGTTACCCATAATGTTTTTAGTTCTGATATTTTTAAACAAATAGTGGCGATTTTCGCACTTAGTTCAGTGATTCAAATCCTTTCTTATATTGTTAAAATAATTTAAAGTACTTTGTTACGGTTAATTTCTCATCAATGGTATACTGAACACTAACTATACAATCTCGGTAATCCCTTTGTCTACTTACTGATATTACATTTCTCCATCATTAAAAAAAAACTGTCCTTCTGCTTGTTCATTTGCTCTTTTTTTCTTTCCTTAAAAACGATTGATTAAAAAAAGAAAGGGGATACTGACACTACATGGCTGTACTAGTTGAAAAGTTCCCTGGAAACATAATTGTTAGTTTAAGCTACCAATATAATAAGCTTGTCATTGTAATTCTCCCTCCAGCCCGCCTCTGTGGTTATCTCAGATAGCTGATTTCTGTGGTTCAAAACATAAATTAGAGGTTCAAATCTGGCTTATTTGTAAAGCATCAGGGAGCATCCAAAGACTTGTTTGCTATTCCTATTTTAGGAGATGGATTTTCTACTTCTTTCTAGTCTGTCCTTCTCTGCCAGTTATCTACTGGCTGCATGTTGAGGTTTTGGGTTCTCACCATTCTGAAGTTCCCGATTCCCTCCCTCCATTTCAGGAGACCTAAATGAGGCTTAATGTGGGTTTGAAAGGACAGAAGAGGAAAAAGCAGCTCTCTACTGACCATATCCATGCGATTCCAATCATCCTGTAAAGATCTGTGTTATTTACAGTATTCCTTTCCTAACCTGGCCAACTGCTTTGCGTAACGCATTCTTCAAATAATTGCTCTAATTTTATCAGCAATCACCCTTGGTCTTCCATCACTGCACAGGCTGTAAGGTCAATTAAAAAAAAGTCACATCCACCTGCAGAAATGCAAGAAAGATGAATAGAATTACCAGGGATTTCATCCTGGAGGCCGTCTTATATCACAACGTCACCAAGGTTGAATGGCTGCACCAGGCCAAGCTGTGTTTGCACACGATACTGGGCAATGGTTTAACATTGGATTCAGTAAACCACAGTTGACTGGATGTGCAAAACATACCAAGCTATAAGCTATAGGATATAAACTGCAGGGGCTGTGTTCATATTATATATTAAACTACTGTCAGCCCTTCAAGGTAGACCTGACTAGGAAATCAGAGTCATGCAGGCTAATACTACTTTTATTGCATGGTTACAGCAACAGAACCTTGCAAGTCTGAATGCACTTCCCCCCTCCCTCCCTTTATCTTTGTGAGAACTAGGGAGGGTCATGCCTGAGACGCTTTCTCAAATTACATTTATGCCCCAGACTCAGAGTTCTTTTATCTGACCCTTGTCTTGGTTCCGGCTCTTCCTCCTGTTCCTCAAGATTATTCCTTTTGCCCATCACAACTACATATACATTATAATCAGCCACAATATGGTTTAACACTCACCAATGTTTGGCATCTACACTCCTGCTAAGGTTTAGGACCTTTGGCCCACAGACTCCCTCAATCTTGGCTCTGAAACTTCCCAACTTAACCAGCCCCCTTACCTTGATCACATCTCTTCCTTCTTCCTGTTTTTTGGAAGTTCCTGGTTTTCTCCACAGCTTTCTGTCCTGTTTTAAGTATCTGGGAACCCCTTCCCTTCCCCATTACCCAACTATTTGGCTGGATGGGTGGGAGTGGATCATAGGAGTAAAATTCCAACCAAGGTGAAGGGCACCAGGTTAAGGAAGGAGGTTCCCAACTTCCATTTCTAAACTTTTGCAACATTCTTGCCATGGGGCAAAGATAAATGCTTACATCCAGCCTGGTGTCAAGCTAAAAACAAGGTTTCTGCCTCAACAGAGAAGCAAACAGTTCAGTACATGCCGTGGGATGAGTAAACTATGGGCAAGCAGTAGTGCATGCATATGGTAATCATACCACTGAAACTTTATGTCAAAATGGCTGATTTTCAATAGCAACTCTGGATTTCCCCCCCACCCCCCAATCAACTAAGGATAGGAATGGAACCAGGAGGTAGATCATTTCCATTCCCACCATGAACCCCTTGCCAATGGGCCCCAAAATGCACTGCTGAAATTTGCCATTTTGCCACAGGAAGTCTGCAGTGTAGTTCTTGGTTGATTCATGGGTTTGGGGTTGTTAAGAATGGGAATGGAAGGAGTTGGCCTCCCACATGACTTCTGTCCCCATTCCCACCCTTACATTCCTCAAAACGCCTCTACAAAAGGGGGCTGAAACCTTGGGAACTTAAGATGCGTGGACTTCAACTGCCAGAATTCCCCAGCCAGTGAGTTGAAGTCCACACATCTTCAAGTTCTCAAGGTCGAGAAACACTGCTTCAGATGATGTCTCCAGATGACCTCCTCAATTCTACAGAAGACAACCTTGACCCAGACACATTGCCTGCTCTTGCTATAGCGCCCCTGCTAGCCGTAGTTGGAATTGGACTTGCTTCCAGACTCCCAATATTACACAATCCTCCAAGCTTAATCTAATCAAGAGATGCTGTCACTGACCTCTGTTTCCACACACACACCCTGCTTCCCATCTCCTTACTTCTTCCCTTCCTCAAACACTTTACATCCCATAAGCATTTATTTACAACCTTAAAGCTGTTTTTTTTTTTAATGTTATATATCTTCTGAACAAAGAGAAATTGTTCTGTGTATTTTGAAACGATGATACCATTCAGGGTGAATGTGGCAGTTTCGGTCTCCCCCTTTAAATATAGAACACAGGCACACTTTTTTTTTGCCTCTTGTTGGATTTATGTCAGCGTACGAAGTTGCAAAAATATATTCCTTTAGCTTTTTAAAGCCGTTTGCAAAGAAAGTCATTTGCATAGTTTAAGACGACGTTGCAGCAATATACATCATTTCAGCATGTTAAGATTCAGGCATGGTGCTTCCGACAGATGAACACAATTCTATCTCCATTTAAGTAGAATTTTTTAAAAAGAATTTTGCTACTATATTAGCAGCACACCAGGATATCAGCACATTGGCAGTGTTCCCTTATGCCTCTGCCTAACAATCCCAAGTATTTAATGCATTTATTGCATTCACACTTTGGAACCATTTCCCGTCTCTGCCTCCTTTATTTCTTTTTCCATCTTGCTTCGTGTGGACTAATCCCTGTTCCCCATCTTCTGGGTTTTCATCTGCACAAAGAAAGGGTGAGTTAATATTGGGGCGGGCAACCCACCCCTTTTTTTAATGGGCCCCGCTGCCATGCCCGGTCACATCTGCTGAAAATCAGCGGTGGAATTCTTTACCATTTAAAGATAAGAAACGCAGGCCAGCTATTGAGCAAGTCCTGAAATGGGCTTAATATAATTTAAAAAACAAACCCACCAGCATTTCCTCCCAAAAACCAGGGGAGGGAGGGAGGGAGGGAGGGAGGGAAGGCAGGAAGGCAGGAAGGAAGAATAAAAATGGCTTTTTAACCTACTATGATGCTTCTCCATTCAAAAAAAGTGAAACGTGGCCAGCAACAAGTTTGCTGGTCTATGGCTGAACAATGAACTAGTGGGAGTAAATGACGTAGCATGGTTGAACGGACGCTAGCCGCCAATAATGCAGGTGAATAAATGCTAGCAAATCCTGGTTGTAGAAGGATGTTTTTCTCCCCAGCGTCGGAATGCTCTCTACCCATTCCCTCAAAGTGGTTTGACTAGCGCTTGCATTTTATCCGCTGCATTTTCAATGCGAACAGACTCTGCTGAAGTCATTAAGATGCACGTGGCTTAGTGCAGAATGAATAAATAAAACAAAAAGGGTTGTTTTCTTTTTAAAAGAGAGAGACTGGTTGGGCCAAGCAAACTAATAACCACCATCAGAAATGAAAAAGTTGATCTTTTTTTAAAATTGCTTTGCAGCCGTCACATCGCCGGGCAAATATAGTTCTGATTTATCACCTTATTCTCCCCAGTGAGAGTGGGGCACCTTTAAGTCTGATACCTTTTCTCCTTCCAAAACACACACGCTAGTCCCAAGAGAATACGATTATGCATCATGCATTAATCATACTGAGTTTCCCCTTTCTAGATTGGTCTTTTTCCCAAAGAAAAACACACCAGCAATTCCTTGGAAACCAAGTCTGTTAATTTAGGTTTTAAACACAAAACAAAAATAATGAATATATCACACACCTTGCCAAGGAGAGTGAATCAAGATGCAGTTCTCACCGCACAGCCATCCACGCAAATTATCCTACAATTCCTTCGGGGGCTTTGTTTCTTTTTACTTATTTCTTTTACTTGGTTTTTTAAACAAATCTTAAAGGGTTGGAGAAGACTGCACTCAGTAAATGAGTAGGATCCTTGTGGAAAGATTAAGTGAAATAAAGAGGGATAGCTTTGCATGGTGTCTAAACCTAGGATTATGGTTTAATATGCCCAGAGCAGTCAGGATTCCTGATAACAAACCTTGGTTTAAAGCAGGCTTATGAACCTGGCCAAGATTCCATGCATTCAGTCATGGTGCGAGAGCCAGTTCTGAAACAATCGTAAGCAAACAGCCTGATAGCAGATCTCTCGTTACCAAAGCACAAGTTAAGTAGAAACTGGGCCTTTTGCCCAAAAGAGATTGGCTCCTAGAGGCCAAGAATTTGGACACTGATTTCACTACAACCAGCACTTGCATTCGATGCACAGCAATTGCTTGAATTCTTTCACAACAGCTTCTTTTGCTTTTCTGCAATACATATCCTTATCAGAAGTCAACGAATGCTTGACTACTTGGTTGTTTCCAGTCCAGCCTGGCATACTGACAACCAAATAAACTGGCATTTATGACTTGGGAACTAAAGCTGATGCATCTCTCCTCTGTTCCGTTCTATCTTAGAGATCTGAGTAAGGAAATCGAATCCTGAAGAAACGCATGGCTAGCATCTTTCCCTTGATCCGAATGTTAAACACAGGCACTCCAAAAAATAAAAAATAAAAACAAAATAGGAGCAGTGATAGACTAAAGACAGTTGTTCTAAAATAGAAGCCACGGTGATAAAATGAGGAGAGTTGAAAATTGCACCACTGTTAGCTTACTTATTCAGGCTCATGATTCAAGATTTTGCTTTAAGGAAGATTTAGCTCCTTCAAATTCCAAAATTGTCAATGGATCTCCCTAACTCTACTTTTTTTTTTTTTCATTGCACAGGACAGTGAGTGTCCTCTAAACTGGTACCTTCTAGCTGGATCACATTATCTTCCCGACATCCCACAGTCAACACACCAGCTTGGAGACAACTAACCTAGGTAATACCAGGATATCAATTACCAGCAAATTACCAAAAGCAATTAAAAGCATAATGTAATACACTTAATGTAAAGTTGAATCAGAATTTGGCTTTGCAAACCATTGTCTGATGTAAGATCTCGAGCTAGATGGTATGCTCTGTGAAAGTAGGCAAGATTTTGACTGAATGAGGGGAAGAGCCAAGAAGCCAATTCACCAAAGCCAGTTCTTATGCATACTTATGAACCAAGCCTGACTGTACAAACAAGAATAAAACAATAATCATCATATGGTAATTTTATGGACAAATAAGTCACGAGTGGCTTACTTTAAAGTTAGCCCTTGGGT